CCAGACAAATCTCTGGACGATACGATTGACATGGTTCTCTTTTCGATGCCATTTTGGCCTTGTCCGGCAGTCAGAAGGATAGGATCTGAGCCTGGCAACCAAACCACACCGTATCCTGATGGTATAACAGGTCCCTTGCGGGGTGAGCTGGTAAGAGCTTTTGTACTAGTATTGAATGCGAAGCTTTGATTGCCGCTTGCTGCAGTCTTCGCGCGCTTCTGAAATCGCACCTAATCGGAACGTTGCGTAAATTCCGGCCAAGTACGGCGGCGCACCTTAGCGCAATTGTTTAACTTTAATCAACTATAATGTCAGGACGATGGACAGCACTTAACAGGGACTACAAAATCGTACTTCACCGGACACGTTTCGCGCGATGCGATTGGCTTAGACCAAATAAAATGAAACTGCGTTTTATTGGCCAAAATGGCTCGATATATCGCCAATGGGCCGGATTAATCCTCTGGGATGCTGGTACCAGGTAAACGTTCCGACCAGGATTATAGCGATAGACGTGGAGGAATGTTGCTCGTAAGCAAGCATTCTTTCATTAGCTATAGACCCAGATAGCTGACCCAGATAGACCCAATGCTAGAGACCGTTGTCGTCCTGAAGTCGCGCACTAGCGGCATGGATCCAGTGACGTGGCAGCCGGTGGGGGCTTGGTGACGCCAGCTGACGAATTTGTTCCATGATGGAACAGACATTTGGGTCCGTTGCAACTGGCCACAAAGATATCGACGCATGACTGGGCAACGCAAGGTCCACCGACGCACCAAGGCCAAGGGCCAGCGCAGCTGCGCTTCGACGGGCAAGGAGCCCTTCGAGGTGGCCATCCAGGGTCTCCTGATCTGGGCCGTATCCAGCCGCAAGTCGCCGACGCCATTCAACGACGCTGTCGCCAAGCTCACGGCGGCTGCGCGCGTGCATCCCGCGCCCTTCACCGTGTGCGGCGTTCGGCTCACGGTACCCAAGCTGTCGTATGCGCACCTCCGATTGGGCGACGAGGTCATCGCGCGGGCGCTGGTCCAGTCGGGTGTCTACGACGTGGTCCTCGCCGAACACGACCGGATGACCAATCATTTCTGCCGCAACGCTGGGTTCGAACCGACGATCAAGCGCTTCCACGAGCTGCCGGGCGCGCCGTTGCCGGACGTGATCGCCAACCGCGTCCGCGACCTCTCGGTGGAGACGTTCCTCTTCGACAAGGGCGACCCCCGGCAAGCCGACTTTTGCGGCCTGCAGTTTTCGCTCGTGTTTTGGCCCAAGACCGCTCGCGTTCTGCTCTTCGACCTCATGACCGGGGTCGAGATTCTTTTCGACGCCGTGCAGCGTCGGTCGGTCGACACTCGCCTCGGGCTGCCATCAACGATGGCGCTCGTCGACGCTCTCTTGCCTCGGTTTGGCGACGCCCGCGAGTCGGAGCGCGCCACGTTATACGCCCACAGCCTCGCTCTCTTTTGCGACGCGCTCATTACGCTCAAGCAACTCGACCCTGTCACGCGCTTTCTGAGCCGCTTCCTCCGTGGCACCTCCGACGACACGACCTTCTCCAACATCGCCTCGTTCGTTTCGATTCTCATCCGCGACTTTGGCTGGGAACCGCTCGCCAAATCCCTGCATACGATGCTCCGCCGCTGGGCGACCACGCTGTCCGGACTTCGCCTGTGCTACCGCCTCGTCGCGAGCTTGGCCGGCGCCGCCGAGTCGCCAATCTGCGACCCGATTTCGCAGCCGTTTGCGATCGAGCTCATTGTGTCGCTCTGGTCGACGATCGCTATTTTGGCCCAGCGGCTACTCTGCCCGAGCCGCCACGTGGGCACGAGTGACGCGGTGGCAGCCTCGCGCGCGGTGTTTCAGTTTAGCTCGTTTTTAGAGCTCCACGTAGCCCGACCAGAGCACATGCGCCAGCGCTGGCTTCACAACCGCCTTCCGGACCGCGTCGTCGCCACGGTCGCGTCCTTCTTGGGGCCGGTGCCGACGCTGTCGATGCTCGAGCAGATGCGCCTCTTTGAGCCCGTGATTGACATGGCGTCGGGAGTTGCAGCAGCAATTCGATTGGGTTTGGACTGCGATGCGAACAAGGGCTACATCCACACGATCCTCGACACGTATTTGGCGGGCGACTACGACGACTACCCGGCGTTCGATATGCAGCTCGTGTCGTCGCTGCTGGTGGTCGCCGCCGCTGGCCACCGCTTCGATACCGTGTTGGACCATCTGAAACGCCGTCGGCGACTAGCGTTGGCACCGTCGATTTTGGCTTTTGCAAAGCTCTGGCCTGCGTTGGCGTCCGGTGACGTAGGCACCCAGTGTTCGCTCGTGCTGTTGCGCGCCGCCGGTGACGTCAATGACAATGTGAACTCTCAAGGACGCCAGACGCCTGTGCTCAACACGATCTCGGCGCTGACGTATTTTGCAAAATTTGACCGCGCGCTCTTGAGCCGCTTTACCGACAGCTGGCTCGGCGCGTTGACGTTGCAGCAGCTGCAGACGACGCTTGGCGACGTGGTCATTGAGCTCCATATGCAGGTGCCATCGGAGTCGCGCTTGCTCCATCGCCTCGCACAAAAGCACGTCGACGCGGTGGGCCGACCTCTGGAGCTCACCGACTACGCGCTGCGCAACTTGCACGCGCCAAACTGCTGCGACCGCTGTGTCGAGTTCAAAGCCTTTTTGCTGGCGCCTTTGCGCATCACGTTTGCACTTGGCGACAACAGTACGTGCACGACGTTGCTTAGCATTATCGACGCCAACCCGCTGCAGCTGCGGCTTCAAAACACATCTTCGCCACGCCACGACGACAACTTCCGGCTTGAGCACTCGGTCCTACAACGCTCGGGTCATGTGGCTTTTGTGAGCAAGGTGCGGCAGCCTGGCCAAGTCACGCCCGATGTCCTCCGCGCGCACTTGGCCTTCGCGCGGGAAAACGCCGAGCAGAAGCAAAAGACGGACCGTGTGGCGCATATTCGGGACGCAATGGCGGCGGGCATGGCGGCGGACGCAGCGTCGCTTTGGACGGCGCACAACTAGTCGACTTGATGTCTTCATGCACCATTGGTCTTGTATGTGGAATGATAACTCGATATCGAAACGTTTGACTCCAAAGATCAGGTGCCAAGAGGGTCACAACATAATAGACGAGACGAAAATGCAAAAAAGGTCGTGGAGCTATCGACAAGTGGACGCGAGTTGCGGAAGGTCGCTGGGTCTCGTCGGAGCCGTTGGCGTAGGAGATATCACAGGTCGAGCATAGCCTCATGCAGCTTGAGGCGGTCGTAGGATGTACCCTAACCCTACGCCGCTCAAGAGTCGCGATCGACGCTGTATT